TATATATATATATATATATATATATATAAATATATGTATATAATATATATATATATGGATATATATATATATAGTATATAATAATATATATATTAATATATTATAATATATAAGTAAATTATATATATATAGTCCTTTCTTATCGGCTAGTCTTTAATTGTGTTTCACTAAGTTCTGAACCCCTCCGCTTTAGTGTTGTTTATACGAAAATAGACATTCAAATAGTTTTTAAATCTATACAAGGTTAAATGCGTTCACTGTGACTAGTTGGAGTTACCTTCTTCCAGAAAGGGTACAACATTTTAGAACTGACGGATTTGTCTTCCACATGGTATGTCCACTCGGACACATTCCTTTTCTCATGCTCGCGCAGGAACAGATTCAATGGCATATTTGCCAACTACACTTAATATTCGAACGAAAGCTGTTGTAAGCTCGGGCGAGTAATGGTAAGATATCCAAGCTACCTGCTCATATACATATATGGAGATATTTGTACTTTTTTTTTATGATCAGATTATTTGCGCCGGGCACCGCCGGCAGCGGGTGCTTGATGCGAGGAACGCTAAAGATGGAAATAAACCCGGTTTATATATCATTTCAGATGCGGATAAGCTCGGTTTATATATCTTTCAAAAGTTTTGCATTACAGTTGTATAAACTGGTTTTTGGGTTTAGCCCGGCGTTCGGCAGCCCCACGTGCTGGCTTTTTATTGCCTTGTGGCTTGCACACGTAGATATAGTATATTATGTACTACATACGTACTAATGTTTAGCGACGGGTTGTGAGAAAGTCTATTACGGCTGGTCAAACTAGACGTTGACACATTAAAGGCATGGGAAAAACTAGTCACTTTAAGATACATAGCGTCACCCCTGACGTACTGTACTGCTTTTCCATCTTATTTTTTACAATCGTTTAATGTTCTACATGGAATCGTGTAGTGATATATATGGAGCTAAATGGTCGCGTTTCTATGCACGTGATTTCTAGTTTTGACGATAAGCATACAAAATGTAGCCGAATCTTTCCGTATATCCTCTACTTCTACCCTGTCAGCGTTTTTGATTTTGTATGATGTTCCAGTAGTCTATTCTGTACTGTTCTAACCATATTAAATCTACACTTGATCTGTACGTTATGTCTCTTGGAATAACTACGGACAGTGCTTTACCACCAAGAGGCATGCAAGTGATAAATTTAAAAGGAGAGTTGCAAGGAATCATATAAGCGATACGTGTTGCAAGAGATTGTGCGCGTTATTACACACAAGCCCACTACTATGCAAACTTTATTTGCCCTGTCCGATAGTTTGAGCGGTATTAAGCGACTATCACTGTTGTACTGGTGTGTGTTCTAGAATTTATGATTGCAAGTTGTCGGAAATTATATACATATATATATATATATATATATACGCGCGTTTGATGCTGCTATAAAAGATAGTGGCGTCTTTTTGAAAGTGAACTGATATTAGTAGATTCCACTTGTATTTTTAACGAATCCTGGTATACTAGACAGCGGACGAGATTTATAGCAAATTAGTAATAAAATATCACATAGTTGTATAATGTATGGTGCTCGATTAAAAAAAATAGTTTAGATTATGTATCGTGGGGCATTGGTCTCTTGGGGCAACCTGTAACGTACATAAATACATAGTTCTATTTTCATACCCTCATTATTCCCTCATAGGCCTTTAGAGTCAAGGCCTCAAGCCTGAAGGGGGTCAATGACTCATGACTCATGCGGGCCGGCATGCCATCATCATCAAAGACAATAACGAGGGGTAATTTAAAAACACACATTTTTTTTACAAAGTTGTATATTATACAACTCTTGTATGTAAAATTGTATTGTCGAATATGTATGATTGTATGTAGCCTTCTTCAAAATTAAAAAACTCTTTTCTTCTCTCGCTCTCTCTCTTGTAGTGTGTTCTCAGAGTGTGGACAATGTTAAACGGACCCTCAGAGTCTCAGGCCTCAGCGGAGCAGGAGTGCCGGACAGGCCGACCAACTTGCAGTCTTGCACTGATAAAAATAGCAACCAACGTCCAACAGCGCAACTAAATCAGCCCCGGCAGTCGGCAGTGTGTTTTCATACAGACCGCCAATCAGATACCGTTTAAAAAGTGATGACAACGACATGCCAAATTCCTATCCTTCATTGGCTGATACATCCATAGATTCAACCACGAGCGCGTAGCATTTTTCTATAAAAAAATTCTAAATTGCCCGCAATTCGCATGCGCGACCTAATTTAATTTACTCTCAGACTATCCTTGCTACAATTTACGTTCCAACGCATAGAAATCAATCCTTTTTACGTTTACGTAAAACTTACCTTGCATTGGTCCTGTATGTACATTTTGGGTGCAGCTGCAAGGTCCTTAGGTGCAATATATATGTATTATTTAACATGTATAGTATGATATATTTTCATTGTAGGTCAGACTCTTTTTGGCCCACTTTATCGAAGTTTCGCTACAATATCATCACTTTTTTATAAATACGTTTCCCTTCAACGTATACTCTGGACTACGTAACGTCTCGAGTGGCTCGGACGCTCCCAGTGTCCACCTTATTGCTCTTGCCTCTGCTTTCGAAATTCGAACTTTGCGAGGAATTTTTAAAACAATGCTCAACCTGCTGTTTAGTGTTTGAGAAAGGTCTCAGTTGTGGAGGCTATGGGAGAGGTATCGTTGAGTTTACATATAGTATAGTGGCGCTATATTCGTCAGATCAGTCTGCATATTTACAAGTGCATACAACAACAGATACTGCAACGAGGTCATCACCTTATAATTATTATAGTCTTTCTCCCATATCATATATACATACCTGATACCATGTTGACCTTCGTAGTTCTGGCCACAGCCCTAGTCAGCGGCACATCCGCTTCTCGATTACAATTCAAAAACGAGAAAAGTGGGCACATTCCATCGTTGATGAGTCAAAAGAGCGTAATCGGTAAGTATGTTATTGTATACTTGTAAAACAAATGCGTAAAATAGCACGATATGCAATCTTCACAAGTATGGACGCCATGCGTGCCTGTTGAAGCGGTTGCGCTAATTTCCAAGTGTTATAATCTATACTCGCATTAGCTAAGGGTTTAAGTTATATCGAAGACATTCAACTCATTTACCGGTCTACAACATAATACATCAGCTCCGTACGACAACTTCGCCGGAGCCAACGCAGCAGCGGCAAAACGAGCAGGAGCCAACGATGCGACTGGGTTCCTAAAGGATCTGATGAATTATGGAAGTACGTAGTCACGGATCTGATGAATTATGGAAGTATGCAGTCACGTGGGTAGTTTATATATGTGGTGGTATGGTACTAATAGGTGCTAGTTTGTATACGAATATAATCTACTAATACACAGTATACAAATACATCCCCGCATGTACGATGCCTTAGCCACCAGCACTGCGACACTTGTGCTGTGGTATCTTGTCATAGGATGTCTGTGTATGTATGTTCCGTCTATATTTTAACCGTATCTTGTCATAGGATGTCTGTGTATGTCTGTGTATGTATGTTTCGTCTATAATTCAACTGTATCTTGTCATATGATGTCTGTGTATGTATGTTTCGTCTATCCTTCAACCTCCGCGCCGTTCCATTGCGCTTCGGCTGTAGGCATAAGTTTCTATTTATATCACGTTCTCGTACATATTAATCTTTTGCGCTGCCTAATAGTCATTGCATGGGTTTGAGTGCATATGTACACCTCGATTGGATTGTATGAGTGACACAAGTGTAAATCATCAATTCACATATATGATTTCATTCGCACGTGATAATTCCCTTATGTGAAACTCAATGAAATGTGATTCCCCTCCGTGAGACGGTGCGACAATATGTGTCTTCTTCATAGTATTGCAAAGTATAATTGAATGCATAAATGCATAACCCTGACTCATTTCTATTCTGCGACTGCTACTATTGTGTTTGTAATTCATGCCCATATGTACGTACTTTTAGACGTATCATAAACTCACAGACATGCATATATATGCACACGTATAAATACAAATATATGCACAAATATGGAATTAGATATATATACAAGTATACAATACATATATATGTATTTATATATATATATATATATGCATATATATATATATATATGTATGTATATATTTATCTGCATGTATATATATATATGTATATATGCATATTATGTATGTGTGTCTAACTACACTTACATTGTATATACAGATGCCTGCATTTACTCCCTAGCTCATTCATGTATTATATTTGCAACTTCGATGTGTTTTATATGATGTGTTTAGAAGTGTATGTATCGTTAACGGTATTGGAAATCAGAGGCTCATCATTGTCTATTAGTATTATATTTTTACGTTTACGTTAACACAAGCGCTGCGAGCCTCCCGTTATATTGCAGTCGAACGCTACTGCAGATACGGTGGTGAGTTCCATCTCTTCCGAGCTATCCACTCTGTGCTGTAGCATTGCGCATGTGTTTGCACATACACCTCGCATGCAGCTTGCACTATTGCATACTGTTGCGCAGGCATTGTGTCTATTAAACTTGATTGTATATCTCACATGTGTTTGTTCTCACTACAGATTGGTGTGGAGGTGGCCACGGCGGCTTCCAAGACTGCTGTGATGGCAAGCCCTGTCCGAGTTGCGTGGTATGTACCTCTATCGTTCCTAATCAGAGCTATGGAACGTTGTGTTGCAGTTGTTCGCTCGGTCAATCATGCCGTAATACGCCCATCATCACAGATATTATATTCTAAAGAGCTATGGAACCTGGATGATTTCTGTTTGTACTGTGTTTCTGTTTGATAGAGTTCTCTTAAATGGTGTTCTATTCTGTGCAATTGCTCGATGGGTCTTGGCAACAGTACCAGTCGTTATTTCTACCGAGGGCAGCCTCAGTCCTGTAATCTTGTTTCGGAGATGAGCCTAGCTCCTTCTCTTTTTCTTTCGTCCTAGTCGTTGTGGGTGTGTATATGATATGTACGTTTCTGCACACCTCTGCAACTGTAGTTGTGACTCTCTTGATGTGTCCCTGTACGTTGCACGTATATGTGCGTGTATACATCTTTGACCGTACACTCACTAATTGCATCCCTGCACCATACCCACTTTTTAGCTTAATAGGACTGCCGATGACATAGCACCGTTAACAGATGCATGCCTGGAGGAATGCCCTATCAAGGACGAATTGGATGCGGTATGTGAGAGAGACTTGACAAGAGAGTGATATTTGTGCTTCTGTTGTGTGACACGGGAGTGGCAAGGGAACTATATACATGCTTCTAAGGTCGAGTATCCCCTCTGTTGGTGTGTGAAGGACATCTTTTTGTTGTGTATTTGGACTCATCTATAGATCTCATTGCTGTTGACGTACTTTTGGGTATTTATGATCTGGCAATGTGCATGGTGTGAAGTCTTGTGTTGTGTTGTGTGGTGTGCTATGTGTCTCTAGCTAGTGAATGCCGAGGTTTATTGATCTGATGCGCATCCTATACTAGCAACCGGCGTCACGTGCACAGCCATACTGTAAGTGAGTTCCTCACGATTAGCGCTCAATTATTCTCACCACACTTCAGTGTGGGATCACTATTGACGCGTCAATGTACCTTTGCATCGTGACTCTTGTCCATCCAGCTAGCATATATATGAGCCGTATGATTCTTGCACAAATTCAATACATTCATGTCTAACGATATATATAGTCTGGCGTCGCAACACTGGTCAGTATAAATAGGGGATTTTGGTATTTTTATCCAATGGATGGATTAGAAGGCCATTCTTTCAATAGTATAAAACGAGTCTGTGTAATCTGATCTGATACGTACAGAGAGTTGACACGTTGTTTCCTTATATTTTATCTGCAGGCGTGTGCCCGTCACGACCACTGCACATTCCAATTCGAAGGACCAAGGCACCTCAAGTGTGTGCCACAGGGCAACTTCTGCCCGTGCGACTGCACTCTCTTAGCCGAGGCGCAAGCCAGCACGTGTGGGTTCCTCGATTTGAACTGCTACACGTACAGGTTTGGGTTAGAAGCCTTGTTCAAGGGTATGACGGATTGTTGGTTTGATGATTACGCCAGGGGGGTGGTCACATGTCTTGAGGATGTGCTACATGAGACCACTGCGGCTGGGGCAAAGAGCTCGACGGGAGACGAGGGTAATAAGACCCCCAGCAAAATCACCGACTTCTGCTAAAAGCAGGAGATACTGAGTATATAAAAATATCGTTTGAAATAAAACATATAAATCATTTCCGAGTTTGAGTAAACCATCTCATGTGTGTTGTTGGCCCACTGCGTCCGCACGTATAACTGGTCACAAGGTTCAACACGTGTATCTACAAATTTCTTGAATTCACCACGCACCATGCAAAGGACCATAGTTAAAATAATATCAGACGCTTTGAAAGGCTATGAAAGAGCATACTTGAATCGATTGGCGCTAAGTTGTGGTCTACCCCGCGTTCGAGCACTCATATATTTCTTCTGATGTCATATGTACTACTATGTATCCGGGCACAATATCTTAGGAATGAGACGATACCAGAAGTCTTCACGATTGATGCTGTTTAGGCTTTTAATATTGTGTACTTGATTTTGTTATGTGAACGATTGATGCTGTTTAGGCTTTTAATATTGTGTACTTGATTTTGTTATGTGAAGTACATTAGTGGGGGTCCGTGTTTTATAGCCATAGTTTTGATTTTGTACGCTTTGGCATCCTCACGGTATCCACACCAAAGACCTCATAATCACAATCCAGTAAAATATAAAAAATCAGAAAGTTGTGGACAAACGATAGCCTAATAAATACTCCTGTTAGCACTTCAGTAGAAATCACTGAAGTTTGCCACTGATCTTCACTCTTCAAGGATGACAAATGTTCTAAAATTAACAAGATATCAGCAAATCAGTAGATCATTAGAGTATGTCACAAGGTGACCAAGTCACCAAGAGCACTAGTAGAGGGATTCCGGATTACCACTTTTTAGTTTATTTATACTAAATATAAATACGTTCACATCAGTGTCCAGTGTCCAGTGTCCAGTGTCCGGTGTCACACGTTCATATTTCTGTTTCAGACTTTCAAAGTTTTTACTTTTTTAGAAAACAAATTATTGTTTTTTAAGAAAAACCAAAAAATAGTAAAAAAAACTAAATATGTATTTATTTATTTATATAAATATTTATTTAAATACTCCCTTGTAAACATACTTTTTTTCATCCGGGCATTTTGCATCTTTATTTTTAAAAAACAAACAATTGGGTTGTTTCTAAAAAGTAGCCTAAAACAAAACCAATAAACACTGGGCAGTTTTCAGTTTTGCTGATATCAGTGATATGAATTCTAAGATGGTTGCCGTTAGAGACTGGAGAGCGTGCAATTTTGATCTAGTGATCGAGTGATCCAGAGCCAGTGATTCCACTGACTCCACTTTTGTCTTGTGTAACAAACTTGCAAACGCGATGCATAACTGTCCATATAGTCAAAAGTCGATAATATGTACTGAATGTAGTATTCTCCTATGTCATCCATATTTTGCCAATGCGAACCGAAAGAATCGAAAGTGCTGCTATAAAAAGCGGCCCAAGTCTACTATTGTATTGTACACATCATATATTGGACAAAATATAAAAAGTATCAAACATCCAGCATGAAATTTTCTGGTATCGTTTCATTCCCATTTTTGGTTTTGGTAGTATCGGTATGCGCGTCTCCACTCTCGGATGAAAAATCTCTGCGATCTGCCCGTAGCTCTGACGTCCAAGCTCAATGGATAAGGGATTGGAGCAACATGGACAACACGGGTATCAGTGATAAGGAGGCTGAACACGAAGAAAGACAACGTCGATTTGCATGCGGCCTTTCAACATGCGATGATGATGGTGATTGCCCTGGGTTCTGTTCCCATTGCACATCGTATGTTTCATGTAGAATAATCGGTCACTCATATGTAATTTTACCTCGCCTGATTTCATTTCACAATAGTATTTCGAGTCGTTGTTTGAAGCCAAGTCGAGCTGTGTTACAAATTGTTAAACGTTACATGATATTCAACAACATCACTACACGCTCCTACTCCCTATTGTTCGAGCACGAGATACTTACTCTTGGTCCAGCAATTGACTCTTATGTCCTCCCTTTATTCCCAAATTCTACAGTGGGCTTTTCCAGCGATACTGCGAAAGATAAGTGCACCAGTTTGTGCGCGGTAGGACATTCAGGCTGGGAATGCACCGGAGACTGAAGTTTTGGATTCAAGCTTGAGTGTATGTCAAATTGATGACTATAGGTCTGACAAGGCCCCCAATAGACTGATGTCTGTCGTCGAGATAAAACAGTAATACTGAATACAATACCAAGCCGAGGGCGATTCCGAAGTTTCTATGGACTTGTATTTGTATTTTTCTTCTCAAAACAACTGTATCTCAATATAATCCCAATAAAAAAATAAAAGGGGGCTATAGAGTTCACACCGTGTTTCGGGCAATAGGAGGCATCAATTATATACAGTAGCACAGTCACGGTTTATTTATTTCTTCTCCATTCCCTAAGGTTCTATATTCTTCTAGTGCACAATGGATAAACCACGACGCGACACTTCACCATGTCCGCCTACGTACAGCACGCGAATCACTTCGATTGACATGAATGGGCATTCTCCAAAACATTTCTCGCAGTATTGTATGTGCATAGCAATGAGGATAGATAACTGTGTGTGTGTGCAATGTGATGGACTGTCTCCATTTGCAATGATATGTACACAGCAAAGTACATGTGCGAGTGTGGAGTAAGTGTATAGCTTGTCGCATCTTTCCTTTTAACCAGCCGGCACGCTAGCCTCATCTAGATGCACAACTTAATGTCAAAATTGCCATTTGATGCTGGAGTGAACGAGAATCTGACTATCACCTAGCGACTTCTAGTGTCTGTGCTTGCGTACGGAACCCAGATCCTGGTTTTATAGACCATAAGTAGCGATTCCTGAGAATACAGACCATGAGTAGCGAGCATGTTTCTATCGACCCACCACAACCTCTTTTGTCCAGATATTGACCGGGGGATTTAGGGTTTAGAGTTTGGAACATGACATGACCATTTAAATCCCAATTCAACAGCTTCCTTTCACCGAGAAAGGGGGTGAGGTACTGCAGTCGTGGGTAGTATTTGACCCTTAAATCTCCCATTTTAACGGCCTCCCTTGGCCGGCTGGTGAGTGTGAGGGATTTCGTAGCCGTTTGCGACGACCGTTAGTTGTCGGCGTTATGCAGAATATCTGCCATTCCTCTTCTCAACCGCAGATCTACCTTGATTTTCAGTCACCATCCCAAAGAACGAGTGATTCATTAACTGGGATAGTGCAGTGGCAAGCTTTGATTACTTGGTGGGATACTCTGGTTGTGAGTAGGCTTCACGAGGATAACTCTCATGTTATGTACAGAATAAGTACCTCTGCTCGTCTGTGGCAAACACTCCTATCACAAGAGATGCTGGCTCCTGTGCCGGTACAACGGTAAGCTCCAATGACTAAGTAGCGAAATTCAGCCGTGTGCGGTATTCCTTCGGTAACCTGTTACTTTACGTATATCATACTCCCATCAACTCGTCGCCTCTTTCTCCAACACCTCTCCATCGGCCCATGTCAATCCCACACCAGCTAATGCACCACTCCTTAGCTCACGAGCAGCCTTCCTTTCTCTCACTTTATCCAGCCGCTTCTTCAGAGCCATCTGCTTCCTTAGTCCCTGTGACACACTACGCTGTCTCAAGGTCTTAGTCTCTTCCCTCAGCTTGTTTAGAGCCTCCATCTGCGTACCCCTGACAATAGGGTCGGTACTGAACCCGTAGTATCCTACACCCAAGTCGCGAACTTCGTTGCCAAACACCTCTTGGAAGTAGACCGGTCCATTATTTTTGGGTTCAAGTGACCCGCTTCGTTCCCTATCACTTCGGGATATGGGTTGGTAGCTGTCGCGTATTTGTTCCTCGGCGGATCGGTATACGTACTGACTGTTAGAAATGGACAGGAGAGAGTGGGTCTGTTCAGTTACTTATATCCGACAGAGTCTGCAGTCTCATGCAATGGCTAGGGACGGTGGTGTGCTCTGTGGATTGCATCTAATATTAACACGTTGAGCCCCACTGCTATTAGCAGTTCCTACTGCGGGTGCGCATGAGACGAATCAATTGGGATTGGTCTTTGCCCATCCGCTGACACTGCGAAGCAGGCACACATACGCTAGCCTGTGAGCTACTTGTCTGTGAATTCATATAAGCTGACTTTCGTGGAGATTATCGATCTATAAATACTCACAGCACCTACATAGCAACATACACTACTAGTTGAAACATCTTACAATACCGTGAAACGTTCCCAATAACGCATAAGCTCACCCGCCACACCACTATCGCTAGACACGCGCGAAGTTCGCAGGACCACAGGAGCAACACACCTCCACAACTACGCACTCCTTCGGCCACTCTACACTTCCGAAAACTCAATAGCAAGCTCACCCACCACATCCCAAAGGCACAAACACAGACACAGCAACACGTATCAACAAAGGAGGATACTACACTCTCAACAACCCAGACAGATCTATACGTACTCTGCTTTAGAACTGGCAGCCGCCTCCGTCCGCCGGATTTTGCGGTGCAGTTTCTCAGCCACACGGGCGAAGTCAGAGCGAGGACAATGTCTGGTGCGCCCCAGATCATCCTCATACTCCACCCACACTTCCCCATCCCTGCGCTCAGAAAGGGGCCGCCCAGCTACAAATATGGACCATATACAAGATGGTTACACAGTTGTAGATATGGTCTATGGGTTGGAGTGCTAAGGTGTAGATATTGATCGCATGCGAAAGTCGGAGAGTGGCAGTTGGTGACCACACAAACATCACATATCATATATATATATATATATATATGATCAATGTTATATATAGATATATAAATATATATATGATATATATATATATATATATATATATATATATATATATATATATATATATATATATATATACATTTATCGATATACATGAAATATGATGTAATAGTCTACAAAATATCGCACATACCAATTACATCGTCATCATCGCTGTCGGACGATGCATCGCTGCGACTGTCGATATCGCTAGCTTCATTATCCCATGCCTTGGCTTCAAAGTCCACCAATACAGATTCGTTCGTGTCGCTTTCGTTTGCCATATACCTGGCCTATAATCGATAGCGATGTAATTAGTGAGTGGAACTGCATATGCTGGTTTGGCGTTGGCGCGAGTGTACGATACTGTGAGTGATGGTGATGAGTTGAAACGCGAAAGCATCCGCATACACATGTGCATAATTTCGCGTACTAACAGACGTCACAGACTTTTAGGTGAGCCTGAGAGCAACAGTATCAGCGAACCCAAATCATAATATATGGCAGTAGAAGCACTCGTCTGTAAATCCCCACACAGATACACACAGGCACACCGACACATATGTATGTATACATGTATATATGTATATATATACATATATACATATATACATATTATATTTATATATATATATGGATATATATATATATATATGGATATATATATTTATATATATATATATTTATATAGCTGATCGATTGTTATTAGGAGTGGACAACAATCCCCGGATAGTATTTGCCACTAAGTTTGACTCGCTCCTACAACATCCACTGTGTAAATTAGCTTGCTTGTTGATTAATATAGCCATGTAGACGTCTGTGATACATCCACGTGCACCCCCCACACCTTCATCATATCGTACAGCTTAGCCTTCTCCTCCAGCTTAGCCTTGCTGCGTGCTGCTTTGTTCTGTTCCGCGTGAGTCATGGCTTGGTCACGTGCTGCCCTGGCAGCCACCCCTCTGTTCTTCGCCTCTACAGCCCATTGCTCTTTAGCCTTCCCCTGTGTGTGTACAAGCACGTGGTTTGCGGCTGAGACTAGAGATACTTTTTAGTGTGTAATGGTATGTGTGGTGTTTGGGACCATACTCACTGCTATATTCTGAGAGTGGTATGGTATGTACACCTATCCTGTGAGAGTTACAACACCTTACACGCACTACAGCTAACCTCGCGGATGGCATGACGCGTTGGCATTTGGTGAGGGATGCAGCTCTGATTACGTATATGGACAATGAAACACAGGACATGCAATGCATGGCACTATTACACGCACCTATCCTGTGAGAGTAATAACATATGACACACACTACTTGACACCATTATATGCACTTATATGGTGAGACATATAACATATAACACACACTACATGGCACCATTATATGCACTTATCTCATGAGACGTATAAAATATAACACACACAACATGGCACCATCATATGCACCTATCTCATGAGACGTATAACATAACACACACTACATGGCACCATTATATGCACTTATCTCATGAGAGGTATAACATATAACACACACTACATGGCACCATTATATGCACTTATCTCATGAGACGTATAACATATAACACACACTACATGGCACCATCATATGCACCTATCTCGTGAGACATATAACACATGACACCCACTACACTGTACCTTGACATTGACCTGGTGGCTCTTGCGTTTGGTAGGGTCTGCCTTGTCGCGTGCATACTCCGCCTGGCGTCGGAACAGTTCCGCTTTGAGGTCCACCAGCGATGACTTGCTGACGTCAATCTCATTGCCCAATGTCCCCCGCTTCCACATGGTGAGTGGGTAAGTTGTGGAAGGTGTTGGGTTGTGTATTGAGTTATGTGGTGATGGTGCTGTTAGAGTATAGGGGTCGTGGTGTCTGTTGGTCGGGTTGTATTTAGTGCTATTAACTGCTATTTCAATATGATTTGAAGTCAAATATATAAATATTCATTCAGGGGGGTGAAGTATGTACGTTGTACTGAACTACTGATACAGCTATTCAAAAATTGTATAATAATTTGGCGTCATTTGAAAGTGACACTTCATCATCAGTGATCAGCTATCAATGCATCATAGTCGATGCACAACTAAAAATACACAAATAAATAATTAGTATACTATGTGCCGTTCTATAACTCTTTAGTCTCAGTAAACACAAACGAATGAATGTACGTGTACGCCCCTCTAGTTTAGATAGGTAGTGGGCACTTGAGGTTAACGCAACCGAATGCATGCGTAAGTATACCGACTATATCATACTTAGGTGCTGTGCGTTTATATGAATACTTGATAGCCAACAAATGATCACACAGACACTTACGTACGTCTACACTTATCAAGTACCCTCTTTAAAGGTACAGGAAATGAAATATGCACACTAGCACAAACAATATATACCTATAAACCACGCAGTCGGATAAACGGTTGTACACACGCCATTCCGTAACCATGGCAGCGGAGTACGCGCAGAACTCGTCCGGCATGTCGATTGACCTGGAGTCCAAGTACGTCGACGACAGTCGGTACAAGAACTTTGAATCCAACATCAGCAAATGTCTCAAAGCGAGTGAACAGGCGCGTGAATGGGCTGACCTCATATCATTCTTAGCACGGCTGAATAAGGGTTTACAAGCTGCACCAGAACAGTTTACGTTTGTGCCACACAAGCATATGGTATCGAGGAGATTAGCGCAATGTCTCAATGCGTCACTGCCAGCGGGAGTGCATCTCAAGACCATCGAGGTATGTGTTGGGCTGGGTGGTAGGGCTATGTGATATGATGGGGCTGAGACTGTGACAAGTGTATCATTCGCCGTATACTGATGGGTAGACACAGCATGCATGCATGGTGGGATGAGAATCACTTTTACACGCGGGGGTGCACCTGTTCTCGGATATTTGAAGGTGTTTGTTGTACGTGCCTCAGCGCTATCAGCCGTACGTACATTAACTCTTCATGCAACGAACACTTTTGTACATAGCAGATAGTATGAGATAGCATTCAACATTATATATTATTCTATTATTCTATTATTCTATTATTTTATTATTCTATTATTCTATTATAAGTATATATATATCTACTTATATATTTATATATTTATATTTTTATATATATATATATATATATATATATAAACATATATATATATATATATATATATATATATATATATATATATATATATATATATATATATATATATATATATATATATATATATATATATATATATATATATATATATATACTATAGATGCATCCAAATTCTTCCGTGCATACACACTCCCATTTGCACATAGAGACTGCCACGTGGTGCTGATATCCCTCGCTTTGCCCTCCCTCAGGTGTACCAAATCATCTTCCATCGAATCGGACCTATGCAGCTGCGCAAAGACCTGTACCTGTACACCATGGGGCTGTTTCCGTTGTTCTACTACGCATCCATCAATGTCAAAGTGGGGTTGTTTGATCTGTATGAGGCCCATTTCCTTCCTCTGGGCGAAGGCCTGGTGCCGTGTTTGAAGGGTCTGATCCTGGCGGTGCTGCCAGGGTTAGAGGAAGGCTCGGTAGGTAGTAACTGTATATGTTTGTGTACATGTGCTGTGTCCATTCGTATACATTCATGTATCTATGTACGTATATACATCTGCTGGTGTAACAATTATTACAGTGCTGGTCTGTGGGCTCGCGTGCAATTGATCCCCTGCTGCTGGGGCAGTGTTGCTGGTGCCGTGCTTGAAGAGTGTCCTCGTAGCAGTGGTTTTAGAACTGGAGGAGTGTTCACGTATCAGTGGTTTCAGAACTAGAGGAGTGTCCTCGCATCAGTGGTTTTAGGACTGGAGGAGTGTTCACGTATCAGTGGTTTCAGAACTGGAGGAGTGTCCTCGTAGCGGTGGTTTTAGGACTGGAGGAGTGTCCTCGTATCAGTGGTTTTGGGACTGGAGGTGTGTCCTCGTATCAGTGGTTTTAGGACTAGAGGAGTGTCCTCGCATCAGTGGTTTTAGGACTGGAGGAGTATCCTCGTATCAGTTGATTTAGAACTGGAGGAGTGTCCTCGTATCATTGGTTTTAGGACTGGAGGAGTGTCCTCGTAGCAGTGGTTTTAGGACTAGACGAGCGTCCTTGTATCAGTGGTTTTAAAACTGGAGGAGTGTCCTCGCATCAGTGGTTTTAGGACTGGAGGAGTGTCCTCGTATCAGTGGTTTTAAAACTGGAGGAGTGTCCTCGTATCAGTGGTTTTAGGACTGGAGGAGTGTCCTCGAATCATGGTTTAGGACTGGAAGAGTGTCC